CTGCAGCTTCTTTGTAATCGATCATTTCCTTTCCTTAAGGAAGAGGGTCTGGGGGAGAGGGGACAGCATATTCCAGGCTATGCAGATGCATTCAAATGTGAACCCTCTTCTACTTGACTTGGAGTACTGGGGCTGACCTTCAGAGCTCGCTGCTCTCGGGAGCACGTGTGCTCTCCTCAAGGATTTGCAGGAACTTTGTACTTGCCTGTAAATGTACCGACACGGTGATTTCCACAACTGATCTACTCTGGTTTGTATTGAAGTTGTTCCTGCTTGTCTCCTCCTCTTTCACCATGCTCATAAATGAGCCTCTTATTTGTGCCGTACAGTGACTTGGCAGCTGAGGTGCTTTGGCTGCCAGAGCCCATCGCGAAGAAACCTGTGCTGCAAGAGCAAGGGCGGTGCTGCAGAGGAAGGCCGAGCTCTTACCCGCAGAGCTGCGTGGCACCGGCACGTTCCACGCTAGCCTGAGCCAAATATCATGAACTTCATCGAGCACCAAACATGCAGCGCTTGCTAGGTGGAAGCGGTACAGGATCTAATTAAAGCGCAGAATTGCAATTAAAAATTAACTTAGCCTCTCTGCCCCTCGGCTGATGTGGCTGTAACATCCGTGCACGAACGCTCCCGCCCTGTCTCGCTGGCCGGTGGTGGGGCCGGGAGGCAGAGGTGTCCAGCTTTCCCTGTGTCGCATGTTCTTTGCCACGGTCACCTTTTGTGGGAAGGGGCTGGGAGTATCGCAGGCTCCTGCGACAAAAATAAGTTAATCTCCGAGCCATGATGGGATTCCTTGGCCGTTGCTAACAAAGCAGGCCTCTGTCTGCCTCTCCTCAGACACATGTGTCCTGGATTTTGTGTTCCACATACCAGTCTTGCTGTCATTGCTGTTGCTGGCGGAACAACAAGCCTGAGAGCTGGAGGTGGTGGAGGGGGCAGGAAGCCACCTCGTGATGCTGGGTTAGCCTGTGCGGACTCTTCTCATTCCTCCACCGACAGGGAACCTCGGGGTCCTGGATCAGTTGGTGCGTTCCCGGAGTTGGTTCTCTGTTCAGGTCCTGGGGCTGGAGCTGGGCTTAGAAAGACCCAGGATCACAGAAGCTGACCAGGCTCTGCTGGCCACCAAGTTTTTATGGCAGTAGTGCCTCAAAGCAGTGAACTGATAGATGTGCATAAATAATCCTGCATATCTTTACATGATGGGAAATGAGAGACTGGGAGAAAAGTCACTCTACAAGTTGACAGTACGGTTTCTTATGAAATCCTCTTCAGAGCTGGTACCAATCTGGACAATGACAGAGAAAATTTGGAGGCACATGGGCAGGATTGTTGAAAAAACTGGGTGTGCTTGCTTGGGGAGGAAAACTCAAATGGTCAAAGCAGTTAGGGTGGAGAGGAAAAGGAGGAAACAAACAACTGCGGACAATCAGTGGAATTTAAAAGTTGCAAACTTCATGTATTAAACCTTTGCACACACAGCTGCAGGATGTTAAAGCTCATAAGTTGGCCAACTTCAAAAGGCAACTGATCAGCTCAGCCACAGTCCACAGGCAGCACTGGCTGGTAAGACTTGGTGTTTAAGCCAGCCCTTCGCTGCTGAGTGTAAGGATGAGGGCTGTACTGCACAGGTTGTAGGTCATACCTCTTTCTAAAGTGACTGGTCTGGCTAGCTGCAGAAACTACTGGATTTATGTGGCCTGTGGATATGCCTGGCTGTGATAACTCCAAGCTTCTCTGCTTCCAAACCTGACCCATCTCAAATTTTGCTGAGCTGCTATTTCTACTGTATGGCAGTGTTGCTAGTTTTGTGACTGCTTGTGCAATTTCAGAAGGTAGGGTTTTGTGAGCTTCATTCATGTAGTGAACAAATGTAAGTTTAATTTCTTAAGGATAACAGAAGAATTAGAAAAATGTGTAATGGTTCAGTATGTGGAGCCCTGAAGTATCTTAAAAGCTCAACAAACCTGGTTCTCTTTTGGCTTGAAAACTGTCCTTGAATTACTTCTTTATGGCTATGAAAGAGGTGTATCTCCCTGTGGCAAGAGGAGAATGGTGTATAATGCTGTAATGCACAGTTGGGTTTGGGTTGTGGTTGTTTTTGTTTTGTTTTTTTTTATAAAACATTGAAGATGGCATGCCTTAAGCAAATAGCTAGGAGTAGAAGAGCCCTGAAAGCAATCTTTTACTCATCACCTCAGACATATCTTCTTCCACACCAGTTCTTCTCAACCTGTTTGGCTACTAAATTATCTTAGATAACTGTTGTAAAGATCCTAACAGCTCTGCAGATCTGTTTTCCTGACTAATCAAAGTAGTGTGGACAGAGTTGGAAATAGGCAGCACGTGGCAACTTAGTGCTAGGAAGCAAATCAGTGAGTACTGGGAGTTGCCTCTCCAGCTTGAAAATAAGGAGGATTGCACCTGGGACTGGGTGTTTTAAGGTCTGATGCCTTCTACAGGAGTTTGTTATCTTTCTTAGTTCTTGGCTAGGTTGAAGAATAGAAAAACACTTGTATCCTCCACAACAGACATTCACTGACGCCTAGGGACCTGGCTGCCTAAATGTTCTGGTTAGACTGCCAGGCTCCAGTTTGCGATGCTATTAGGGGACGTGTTCATGGTGAAGCCAGTTAGCAAGCCAGCTGGATGGGAAAGCTTATGTCTTAGTTATCCTCTCCAAGTGCAGTATTAGGTGTTGGTGCTTGCCAGGATTAAAGGTCCAAGAGAACATCTCTCCTGCAGAGGAAAGGAGGGGAGCACACACTTTGAAGGAAGTGGCGTTTGTGCTGTCCCTACTCAAATACTCGCCTCTTTTCTGAGATATCATTAAAGGGCATGGTAGTCTTTGGGTTACAGCTGTTCTGTGATGGCAAGCTGGCATATGATTTGTGCTAGGAGAGTGGCTCTAACATGGGCAAGGCTTGTTGAGTAAACTTGCTGTCATTAACCAAGGGTAAAAACCTGCTAACAGAGAGCCTTCACTCACTTTTTGTAGGTTGGTAGTGGTGCAGCTGTTGCATAGTGCATCTGTGCGGGAACACAACCAGCTCCTAGCTGATGGCTGCACCTGGGGGGGCTGGAAATGAGAATGCTGTGTGCTTGATATTTGGTGTAAGTGTGGACCAGAAACTATTACAGGAGCTTTCCCTAGCTAATTTGAAGGACCTGCTTTGGGGTGCTGCTGGCTTTATGGACTCTGACCTGAGGAGTTAACGGAGTAAAAAGTGACTGAGATGATGCTAACCTGACTGTGCCGTCAGTTGCACCACTCCTTAGGTGCAATGACTGCTATGTAGATGGGATTTTTAAGATCAACCTGTAGCACAGCTGGCTGAGATTGTATTTCTGCCATTTCCTATCTCAATAGCATCTTGCTAGGTGCTGTACAGCGATGGGCTTAGCAGAGCCTCTAGGTATGGCATCCCTTGAAGTTAGAGCAGTAGTGTTGTCTTCAGCCACAGATCTCAGACTCATGCTCCCTCCTGGTAGTTGGAGGGTGACCATTGCTTGGTGGGAAGACTAGCCAGTTGCAACAAGGCCCATGTACCAGTTTAGCTCCAGAGTTAACCTAAATATTTAACAGGATTAAGCAAAAGCCTTTGATTGAAACAAAAGAACGTACTGGGCTCCAGTGACCCTTGGTACACCCAGCTTGGCAGCAGGGAACCCTGCTGATCTTGCTTTCTGGGACTGGCTCTTCCCAGGCCAGACTGGTGACCCCAGCCTAGTATTGCTCTTCCTCTGGGTGTTGCTGCTTAAAGCTGCGTGGTCTCTTTTGAGAAAGGAGCTTGTTAGAAAAAATTTTAAGGAACTTAAAAGTCCTCTGTTGACTATGCAGGAAACATAACTGAGCATGGGAGAGGAAGGAGAAGCAGGAAAGCTGACCTCCAAGATGTTCCCCCATCAGTCCTCGTGTGTTGTTTGGCTGGCTGCTTCCCCAGGAGGAGGCTTACTCCAGTAGCAGGGATGGTCTGCAGGGCTCTTTTCTAGCTTTTGAGTTCTTTGCTGTCAGACCAGTGAGAATTGAAGTAGCTTGCAGTAATACAGATCTGTTTACTCCCAGGTTCCTACAGTGCAAAGACTTGAGGATCCATTGCTGACAAGCTGCCTAGTTTTCAGTGTTAAGAGCAACCTTGTCATCTCTTCTCATGCTTTACAAAGGCTTCAGCCATGGTAATTGAGCAGTTAACTTCACATACAGTAAAGTACCTTCTCTCTGTCATGAAGACTTGCCCTGGAGCTTCTCTTGCCCTCTCTGTCTTGCTTGCTAGCCACCCCATGGTAGTTTGTATGGCTGGTACCAACAAACTAAAACCAGCACCCTGTCTTATCAGTGCTCCCACACTGCCTTGAACTTTTGAGATTGGCTTTGGAAACTGGGATTTGTTGAAATCTTGCCTGTCTTGATCTTGCAACAGAATTGGCAGCATGTAACCATGGAGCAGACTTGCTGGTCCTCATGCGTTGTCAAAGCATCAGGCGCCAAGTTGCACACAGCAAGCTTGATTTAATGCTGCCTTTTAAATTGACCCCTTGGCCTTGCTCTTCAGTGTTCCTTCAGCTGCTTTAGGGGTCACGAGGAGATGAGATTTTCTGGAGGAGGGAGCTGGCCTTGTGAGCTCCTTCAGATAAGTGCATCCCTTTTCTCTGCCGGGAGTGGTAGCTGGAGTTGGTGTTTTGGTTAATGCTATTAAATGCGAAGTTCGTATAAATAGTGATGGGATTAGCAGTGCCTTTGTGATTAAATCCCTTCTGTAACTGCTGATAGCCCTCTGTCACTCTTCAGGAGATCTTGGCAGCAGTGGCTGTTTGTATTTGTAGTGACTGTAATGTCCTGTTTTGCTGCCCTGAAAGGCAACTCAGGTAGTCTATGGAGCACGTGCTTTCTGTGCATCTGCTCCAAGACTCACCAGGCGATCCAGAGCTCTGTGCAGGGTAAGGGTGTCACTCTTGAAACTGCCTGGAGGACCTGACATAACTGGGTGTCTGTCTGCTTTCCCCTTAGGTCCTGTAAGTGAAAGAAGATGGGATCTGGCTGCCTAAAAGTCACCAAGTACTTCCTCTTCCTCTTCAATCTCCTGTTCCTTGTAAGTATCGAGGGCATCTGCAGAGTAGAAAGGAAGGCCTGGACTAAAATTAACTGGAAAGGTGGTTTTTTTTCTGGATGTTGGCCCAGTGTGTTCATTAAATAAAACAGCCAGAGTTTTTGAAGGAAGGAGGGAATCCCTGAAGCTGAGGGACATCAGAGCTGCTGTGCAGCTCCCATGTATGTTGAGTAGTTCCACTCCCAGTACCCCCCTCCCATCTCCAATGCACACAGCTCTCTCCCTGCAGTGGGAAGGAAAAGCAGGAGTTATGGGTTCTTTCTAGAAGGAGAGTAGTTGTAACTACTTTCTCTGCCACATCTGGAGCAGCAGCTCCAGAGCAGCTGCCCCTGAGCAGCAAAGCTACAAAACCTGCCAAGTAATGGCAGTGCCCTCCTAAATAGGTCAGGCAGGCTTCAAAGAACAACTCTAATTTTGTTCGAGTCCCAGCGGCTGGTTCTGATTTTTTAAAAAGATGAATTAGTCCAGGTCCCCCGTTTGAAATGGAGTTGGGAGGTGGGGGAGACTGGGACAGGCTTGCGTGGGGAAATGAGGCAGCCCACTGGATGCAGTTATTTTCAGGTGTGAGACTCAGCAAAAGACAAGTTCCTTTTGTATCAGAGTGGGTCTGGGAAGGCCACACACATTCTTGCGTGCATCCTTTTGTGAAGCTTGGATATTGTGTGTCGTGTGGACAGTGATGAATACTCTTGGTGCTGCCCTCCTGCAGTGGAATGGTGTAGTGGGGAAGTATATGGTTTCAGCTTTCCACACATTGGCAAGAAAATTGATATTGTTAACCTTTGTGCAGCATGTAAGAGGAAGAGTGGGCCAGGCTGGGAGGGGAGGGAGGGAAATGGAGCACGATAAGGTGAGCACTGCTTACCTGCTGCTCTTTTTGCTGGATGCCATCAGTGATCATTGTGGCATCTCTAGTCTACATTGCCCTCCTCTCCCCTCTCTGCTGAGCCAGGCATGGTTGTGGGCAGCCTGCGGGGACAGCTGTGCTGTCAGGAGGCAGAGTTGAACTGCTTTGTCGGGCTGACTCATATCTGCACTGAAAAGGATTTTCCTATATTTTGCAAGACACTGGGAGGATGGCATGTGCCAAATACCGCTGCAGGTCTCAGGGAGGCTTGAGCCCTCCCGTCTGGGTTGCAAGTGATGGAAAGCAGCTGTTCTTTGTCCTGTGCACACCCTGCTCCAAACCAACTCCTCTGGTGTAGCAGCCAGCCCCTCTCCCTCTTGGGGAGAGCTGACCTGATGCACTGAGCTGGGCCTGGAGAGTAAGTTTTAAGGTGGAATGTGAGGAGGTCTGTGTTGACCGAAGGGAGAAGCTGCTTTAATGAGCTCTTTGCTAAGCCTGCTGTGCAGCACGGGCTGAGTCTTTCCCTCGGGCTGCTCCGTGGAATTGAGGTCTCTGAAGCTGCTGTGTTCTGGTGGTGAGCTTGGTGCTTCTCTAGAGTGAAGATTTTGAGTGTGCTTCTGTCTTGACTGATGGCAGGCTTTTTGCACGTGCCAGATGTTGAGGAAGGTGGTATCCATTACTCTCTCACTGTCATAGGAAGTAGTTGACATGAGAAGCTTTTCCCGTTGTGGTTGTTCAAGGTCTGAATGGGGATCCTTGAGCTTATACAGTGTGGTAGATAGTGTTAATCTAGTAGAGAAATGGCTTCTGATGAGTTGCTGTGAGCTCCCAGCATGGACAGGTTTTGCTTATCTCATGCTGGTTTCCCAGAGCTGCTGAGTTTTGTTGAGGAGAGTGCTTGCACAAACATGAACGTTGATGCAGGTGATAGAGCTCTGTGTCTGCACTGGACCCTGAGCTGAGCCTCTGTGATTGCACCATGTGCAGGCCACCCTCACTGTCTGAAGTGTGTTCTCTAGCCTTGCTTGGAGCTGATGAATTAAGCCTTTAGAGACACCAATGACTCTTTTAGAAGTTAGTCATTGAAATAGCGCTTCTCTACAGCTCAAGGTCTATGAGAAGGTCCCTTGCTATAGCTGAAGTAGTTCAGGGACTTGGTGGTATTTTGCAGCCTTGGAGCCTTACTTCAGGGAAGAGTTTGACCTGCTTTGATTAAAGGGAAGAAGGTTATTTCGACTGCTTGCCTACTTGCTACAAAAGATACCAAAACCATAAGCTTGGAGTATAAGATCAGTTTGTCTAGTCAAAACTTAACGCATCTCTGCCTTCTTGGGTAGCAGACACAGGCCACAGTGATGCTTTTCTTTAAAGGGAAAACAGTTCTCTTGGACAAATTCAGCAGTCTCTGGAAACGATTTGCATAGAACACATAAACGTCCTACTTCTAACCCTTCTGTAAATGGAGCCAAAGGCTGCTACCTAAAACAGAGCCTGGAGTTTAAGACCCTTTCTGTTGCCCGCTGTGCCAGGCTTAATGCTATTGCACGAAGGAAGGCAGTGCTCAGCAAGGTCAGCTGGGGATCCCCAGCTGCTCTTTCCAGCAAGGTGGGTCAGCTCCATCACAGCTTTGTTCTTCCAAGCCCCTCTTCACTGGGCTCTGCTGGGGGAAACTGCTGGCCCTGCCTCAAGGGAGCTGTATCCTTCTATCTTAGGTGTGGAAGGGGATCTTGCTGAAATCAGGGGTGAAATATCCACCCCCAGGATGGAGGGGAGACATCATCCCCACTTCAGGATTTTAAAGCAGTGGAGCAGAGGAATTAAACTCTATGGAAGGCAGACGTGATTTCTTCTGTGGAGGGTCTGAAGCCAAGCCAGTGGCAGAAGCAGCCTTGCTATGCTATGCAAACTCCTGAAGATGCTGAGCAGACATACTATTCTGCTAGGAGGTAAATATACTGTTGTTAATAGGACAGTGTTTTCTCCCTGTGGCTTATTTTCTCCTTGCCTTCCTCTCTCAGTGTTTTCCACAGCAGCTCCTGGCAAATGCATGAGTTGTGGACTAGAGCAAAGATCAGAGTGAAAACAGGCCTTGGATAGTCTGAGCACCTCATAACAAATAACTTCCCAGGAGCTCAGCTCAGCAGCCGTTCTGTGTTTTGTCAGCAACAGCAAAACTTAGGTGAAATTTCAGGGTCAGTGAGCCAAGAGAGATGTCACATACAGCCTGGTTTGCATCTTTGTTAAGACAAATATTTTATTAAGACTATAGTTTAAATGTGAGATTGCCTCGAACTGTAAATTCAGCAGTTCTTGGCAATACCAAGTTTGAGAGGAATTTTTTTAGATACCACAGCTGTTGCATGTTCAAGAGGCCTTTCTAGTTTGATCAGCAGATTGAGTGCTGCAAGTGCAGCATGTTGGGACATAAGGCAAGAGGGAATTCTTGTTACTGCCATCTTGTCTTTTTCTCTTTTTTTTTTTCCTTTTTTCTGGGATAAAACAGCTATGTGTTTTCTGCAGCTGAGTCAGTCTTCTTCATCCATCTTCATATATGGGAACTTGCTCGGCGACTTTCTAATCCTATCCCCAGAGGTAACTACGTGTTGTGCTCTCTGCCAAACCAGGAAAGCTTGCAAGCAGCTTATTTCAGACTGTTGGTTTATCTTTGCTCAGAAAAGCTTCTTTGTATGAGGAGCTGAAGCATAGTGTAAACTTCCACAATGTGGAGACAATGCCTGTCCATACAACCCTCTCTGCCAGCTTGCTTCAGGTGGTGGTTTGGCATTTCCCTTGTCTCCCAAATATCAGAACATTCTCTAATGAAGCACAGAATTGCCATCTTTCTTCAGCCCTGTTGGTTTATTTAGTATTTCACTTCATCCTATCTTGAAATCCTGCTGATGAAAGAACTGCCACCTGCAGTTCATGTCCTCTGGAAGCATCTCAGTTGCACTTCTTCAGTTTCTTCAAAGGCTGTTGTAGATCTTCGCACAACAAGGGGTTTCCAGCCTTTGCCGCTTCTAGTTGGGTGAATGGCACAAGTTTCGGCTGCTTATGAAACCTGCAGACTTAGAGGGTTCTCAGCATAGTTATTTTATTGTGTGTATAATGGTGCTCTGATCCCAATTTGGTAGCTAGAGTCATCTACATGCAAACACCTCACAATGCAGTATAAAACACGGTGATATCTGGAAGCTAAAATGGAGTATATGTTTTCTTTTTCCCCCACTCCTTCAAAATGTGGTGGGAAATCTGTATGTCTCTTGCCTTCTCAGTTCAGTGTCTGGATTCAGCTGAGTCCTCATAGGGACATATTGCTCTACTAATCCTTGCCCTAGATAAGAATGTGTGGTGAGAGAGGCAGAGGCTGTGGCTGATGTTTCATCATGCTTGACTCTGGTGGTAAGATGTGTTGGCTTGAGGGCCTGGGGTATTCTGGCATAAAGTAGAGGCTAAGGCAAAATACCTATCTGGCTTTGGAAGGGGCAAAGCACTTCACTCAAGGGAACCTGCATGCAAAGTGAATGCTGCTGGTTTTTTTGTATTTGTGGGTTGAAGGCATAATGTTATAAGAGAGACTGACAAGACGAAGATTTCCTTCCTGGGAAAGTTCCAGCTGCCAGATATCTAATCCTTTGGCAGCTGGCTCCCAGCCTGGTCCCATAGGGTCAAGGATTTCTCTGTTCAAAAAAAAGAATCTTTAAAATCATATGCTAGATGTGTTTGTCCTTCCTTGGTTCTTCACAGAAGCTAAGCACTTGCCTTGTGCTTCTGACAGCAAGGTTCTAGCAGCAGGGGGGTCTCTTCCTGAGACCATTTTGAACAGTCCTATACAACATCATGTACCACTAAAATACTGTGTGAAGGACTGCCAAGCAGAACCTGGGGTTGGCTCAGGCTCTCTTCCTGGAGTCATGCTAATCCTGTTTACTTTGGGAGGAGTATCAACGGGGGAGATGGGTGGGAACAGCAAAAGAATGGTTGTCTTTTTTTCTGTAAGTATGGAGAATGGCGACTGCCTGTTTATCTAAACTAATAAGCCAGCTCTATGTTTTGTTCTTGCTCTTTCAGATCCTGGGCGCTGTGATCCTGGGTTTTGGAATATGGATTCTGGCCGACAAAACCAGTTTCATTGCAGTTCTACGTAAGACACTGTTTCTTCACCATCTTTTTCCATCTGAATTGATTTGAGTCTGGGGCTCTGCTTGACCATGGTGTAGTATGGGGATGGCAATGCTCTTATGCATGGTCTGTGACCTGAGCAGTAACATGGTGTATAGCAAGATGGAACTATCAAGGACAGAGTGAAAGGGAGCAACCCTGGAGACACAGCATTCCTCCTCGGCTCGTGGATTGCAACACCAGACTCAGACTGAGTGAGACCATTGCCTCTTCACCCAACAATCCAAATATTTCATCCTAAACCTAGGGACTAGTATTTAATCCTATTTTCACTGCATGCTGTGTGTTTCTGCAACAGCTTCCTCATTACCGTCCAGTCCAAAGGCCCCCAAAACCTTAATGTAGTTTTGCTGTGTGAGTCCTTTATGTTCTCACTGCTTTCTTTAACAATCTGTTTCAGTTCAGCTGTTTTAAATGCCAAAGAAAGTAGGTGCCTGGTTTTAGTGATGCTTCACGTACGTTGGAAATATTCAGTATGTTTGTTCCTAAGCAGTAGAGGATGCAGATCTGAGGGGGAGGCGGAAGGTGTGGGGCTGTGAAGTGTTTAATGCTCTGACTTCTAAAACGCACTGGATTGTACATACTTCATGAGACTTAGCCTGGCCATCAGAGGTGGTTTGTGTCACTGCACGTGTGAGAGGCTGGCCTCCTTCCCTGTAGGATCAGCCAAGAGCATCAACTTGAGTCTTAACACAGAGAGTCTGCTTTCTGCAACAACCAAAAAACTGAGCTTGCAGGGCTGTAAGTGGACTTTCACCAAATGAGTAGCTCAGCTCCATCTTTACCAAACTCTTTCTTTGTGCATTTTCCTAGAGGGGCCTTCAAAGAACTTTTCTGGTTACTCGTTGCCGCTACCTCCAGAATTGCTGACTCTGGCACCAGTGTCAGATGCTGCCGGAGGGCTACATGTGCATCTCTTGCAGCCCCAGGGAGTGAACAGTAATGGCATATATAGCCCTGTTCCCAACTACACTGATCCTGCAAAGGGCTTTATCTCCCAAGTCCTGCTGAGCACTGGCCTGGCTTTGGAAAGTGCTGGGTGGAGACAACACCCACACTAATGCCATACACAGAGATAATGCTGCTTGCTCTTTTTGTTGTGTTGTGGCATCTGGCTTGCTACCGCAGTAGCAGAAGGGTGAGAAGCAAAATAAGGGGTGTGGGTTAATCAAGTGGGGGCATAAGCAGAAACACACTTTTAATAGAGGGAGCCAGAAAGGAGCTCACCAGGACCTGCCTATTTGCAGCACCCCTCACAGTCTGAGGCATGTTTAGTACCAGTGGGCCAGCAGCTGTTCCCCCAGGCTGATGGGTGTTGCTGCTGCTTGTGGAGGTACGAAGTCCCTGGGTTTGGCTCTGCTTCTTCCCATTTTACCCAGAATCTCTGCTAACAGAGCATTTAAGGATTTAACTTCCTTCCTGGAGATTTCCAGCATCAGCTCTTTCTCCCTGCCCCCTTGCTTCCTTTCCCATGCCTTGCCCCTCTTTCACTCTGCTTTAGTAACCCAGGCATCAGGGAGGGAGCCCGGCACGGCAGGGCACTCCAGCTGCTGCCAAAAGAGCCTGTTGTGCTGGCTTGGCCGCCTGCCCAGCGCAGGGGAAAACACGGAGCGACGGCAAACAGAGCAGGAGTCGTCTTGCCGGCAGAGCCTTCTCTTGCAAGACAAGGCGTACTGCAGATATGAGTGCAAGCACGGCTCCCGTCCCCCTGCCGCTGTCGCTTCTCCGAAGGGTGTTTGAGTTGTAAATATCATTTTCTTTCTTCTAATGAGAAGTTGACTAAGCAACTGCTTTCTAGCACTGTGGAGGTGCTGCAACCTGGGCACTTGAACACTTGGATGGTGGCTGAGCAGATTTTGGGGGAGGGCATAGTGTAGTCTCGTGAAGGCCACCCCTCTAAGGCTGCTGCTTCAGTAAATGCTTTGCAGTATCAGCACCTAACCTGCACGGCAAGAGTCCCAGGGCTGGTGAGGAAGGAGGAGCACGATCCTGGTCTCTGTGGCATATGTCCAGCCAGGGAGAGTCTGGCCTGGAAATGAACCAAGGCTGAAGTGACCTGTGTGGCAAACAGCTCAGGTTCATTTTTTGGTAACTGATCGTTTTCTTCAGTTCGGCATGTTCTAGGGAAAAGTTTGGAAGCTGGTGACTTGCACCAGGTATCAGAAGTGGGGGGAGGTATGTATTAGAGGGGAGGGTATTAGTCTGGTTTCGGTTACTCTCAACCTATTTCAGGAGGAGCTCAGAGGAAGCTTGCCTCCTGGGACTTCCAGGAAATTAAATGCTGAGCTCTAGGAACATTATCATCATTAATCACTGGACATCCAGAATTCCTCTACACTGCAGCTCGCAGGTTTAAGAACATCTCTTAATGATAAATGAGGTTTCTGATTACTATTTCTAGACAGATTATCTCTTCAACTTTTATGCTGAAATGCTTAAAATGCAATCCTATTCTGCAAGAAATAGTACTGTGATCAACCCAAGTGTAACAGCCTGTTGTTTCTGTTGCTTGCAGTACTAATGGTTGAGGGGAGAGGACTGACAGCACCAGCATGTCTGAAATAATGCTACCTAAACTTGGTTGACAAATTGTTGAGTGCTCAAGAGCACAGTCATTCCAGACACAATAGCAGGGGATAGCTAGGAGGATACCTAACAGTAGCTAATTTGGGCGTGATGTCTGTTTTGATCCTGGAATAGCATTTCTTTGCAGGGGGTCATACACAGGTGCTGCAATAGCCTGCAGTGAGCACCTGGCCACAAGTCCTTCAACACTGACTTGTCAAGTAATCTGTCACATCATCTATGCTCAACACTAGCTGTAGCTCTTGCATCATGTTTCACTCCACAGAGTTTGTGTGTCCCACTGTTGACTGCAAGTGGATGTGTAAAAACAGAATGGCTCGAACAAGGAATAGTGCATTAAAGTGAAAAGCTAAACCAAAAAGGGTTTTTAAAGACTTGGAAAAAAGCTTCCCTGAAGCTAGTGAAGGGAATTGAAGCAAATAGGCAGCAGTTGTGGAGTAGAGCATACTTTATATTACTCTCACTTGGAGTGCATTCATGAGGGAGTTAAAAAAAAATCCAGTAGGCAGCTAACTTTCTCCAAACAAGGTTCATTTGTTTGGAGTGACCATGAGTCTTCCAGGCTTTGAGATAATGGAGACCTGCAGGTTGGCTTTGAAGGTCTTCCTTCATCAGAAGACACCCAGAAGCAGCCTTCTGTCCCTATGTTCAACATGCCTCTGTGCAGTCCCTTTGTAGAAGACAACAGACTATTATAAGTAGATATGGAGGCAGTTGTCTAAATGGTGATGGTAGATACAGCTTTTGTCAGTAGCTGATTTTGTTCTCTCTGGCCCCTACAGAGATGTCATCTCCCTCCCTGAAGACTGGTGCATACATCCTCATCGGTGTTGGGGCTCTCACCATGCTGATGGGGTTCCTGGGCTGTCTTGGAGCAGTCAATGAAATCCGATGTCTCTTGGGTCTGGTGAGAGAATTCATGCTATGTTTTAGATCCACCCTTTAATACCTCTCCTACAAAGTATCTGTCTGATTGTAACTGGGGCTCAGGTCTCCTGGGGACAGTGCTTCTACTGGGTCAGCTTAGATCCAATTCTTAATCTGTACACATTAAATTCTCCAGCAGTCAACAGGCTGCAGGACTGACTCCTCAGACATTACCGATGATGAGCTAATACCTCTGCAAAATGACAGATGATGTCACTGATGCTTTCTGGAAACAGTGGGTTGAGGACAGCCAACTGAGGAGAGATGTTCTAGGTGACCCTGTACCTCATCCCCCCCACCCCAACTTCCCATTTGGCATTGTGTGAGGACAAGTATCAAGGGTGGTAAGAGAGAAGAGGAAGAGTGGCAGTGTCCTGCTGTGCTGCAAAGTTCAGCTTCTGTGGAAAGTGCAAGAGTCAAGAAAGACTTGATTAGCGATGTTCTGTATGTCAGGAGCTCTCTTCAAACAGTTCCTCTATAGGAAATTTTCTGTCTGTGATGGATGAGACAACACTAGCTCCATACACCTCAGCCTGCTGCTTGACTTCTGCTTATTCAGAGCACATATGCCAAGTATGAAACGAAGTATGGCCACATTTTGTGTCCTGGCATTAGGAACATCTGATGTAATAGTAGTAGCTGCCACCATTTAACCTCAGATGTCAAATTTTCCTTAAAAGCAGTTTGCTGGTGACTCTTGAATTTAGATCTTCAAACAAATTAAATAGGGGGGGTTTTTTAATTATTTTTAAAAAGGTAATTGACTTACAAAAGTAATTTTTTAAATTATTTTTTTAAATTTACTTTTCCTGCCATGGAGGCTTGGGGTAGGCAGAGTCCAACTGGTTGAGGTCAGAGTGGACTAGGAATGGAGCTGGAGGTGAGAGAAGGAATCCCAGCTGGAATGACACATGCAGAGAGGGTGCTTATAAACCCTCTCTCTCCTGAAGTCTTCCTGTTGGCCTGATGGGAGAAGTGCTGAAGCGTACTGGTCCGATGTAGATGCTTGTACTTAAGCCTTTTACTGAGGGGAGCGTTGTTGATAGCAGAGCCTGTCTGCAGGCAGAAGTGTTGGCTCAATGTTGTGACTTTTGTATATGAAATCATAGTAAAACTTGAGTTATTATGTACAGACCTTTCTACAGACTGATAGTGGTCATCTGTTCTCTTTTTTTTCCAGTACTTCACCTGCCTGATGGTAATCCTCATAACTCAGGTTGCTGCTGGACTGGTCATCTACTTCCAGAAAGAAACGGTAAGTGTTTCTTACTGTGCATGTTTTCCTTGGTCTTGGTTTGGGGGAACAGGAGACACCTGGAAATTCCTTCTTCCAAACTGGGATGTACCATTAGCAGGTGTAACTGGATTCTCCTCCCCTTTACCCTAGCTCAGCAGCTTTGCTGTACAGTTTACTGCTTTGGTATCTGCCAGCCTCAGTAGTGCTACTGCCTCAAGGATTATGAAGCTCTGTTTGGTATGCAGGCTTTATTTTTGGGTGGTGAGAGCAGTAAAAAGAAATTCCTGAAAGGCTTTTGACCACACCTCCCCTTGATCTTGCTGCAGACTACTATTTGAACATGTGGTAGCAGCGGTTACCACCATGTTGCCATCACTGGTTCCTTGAGGCGTTACCAGCCTGGGTGATTGCTTTTCTGACCGGCCTCCCTCCTTGCATCGTCTTGTTCCATCCTTTCAGTCCTTCTGCATCTGTATTAAAACTCTCCTTGGAAGAGCTGTCCTCTTTCCCCAAGAGCAAACCCAAGTATCTGACAGTTCCTGTACTACAGTTTGAGCTTAAAGCCAAGTGGTTTAACATTTTGAAGTGGATCTCTGTCAGCAATGCAGTTTCACAGCATATGCTTCTAGAGCTCCAGTAGGCTTGGTAAAGTATAACTTTCAAGCTACTTAAGTGCATTGCAACAGCCTGTCTGGCTGTAGGGTTCCCTGGCCAGGGCAGTGCCCTGTCAGGCCTCCAGCTATTTGACAGCTAAACTGGGAGCTGCATTCATGCAGTGGGAGCAAGTTATAACTGTTGGAGTCCTTGCTGGCTTCTGTCCTGGTACCAGGTTTCTGGTACCAGTTGTGGATAACCCTGTCCTTTGCCACATAACTAACTGTCTATACTCCTGCACGGCTGTGCTTTCTTCTGCTAAGCCAACCCTCCTGCTAGGTGGTTACAGAAAGCTGGTTGAATAAGGTATGGATGGGGCCTGGTGGTGAAGTCTGGGGGCAGGGGGAAGGTGCCTGCCCCCGGCGTAGCTGATACGAGCTTTGTACAAGTGACTGTGGTGACTGGGAGCAGCTGTTGGCTGGGTTCCTTGCCAAACATGGCTTGCTCTCAGGGCTGGCTGGAGCTGAAGGAGAAACTGAAACGTTGGCTAGCTGGTGTGTAAAGTTACGGCTTTAAACAAGCTGCTGATGCTCAAGAAACAGCTCTGACTAATGTGGAGGAGGAGGTGTGGGGATGGGCATTCCCTTGCGATGGGGAAATGTGACTTTTCAGACTGTGAAATTCCAAACCTCTGTTGGTATTTCTCCTCCAGCTGTCATGCTACTGTAGAAAACTCCAGCTTTTGAGCTGTAGCTCTTCATTTGAACCTCAGTCAGACCAGGGGGAGAATAAAAGTGCTGGGGGTTATTCTGCACAGCCCTTGGAGCTGCTGTGGCTCAGATCGTCACTTGTACGGATCCAGCAGGATGGCAGAGGAAGCTGGGCTTTGAAAACATGCTCCTGTTTGGTCCTTGGTGAACAAAACTTACGGAAAAGCTCTTCCAGAGCCCTTCTATTTCAGGGATCTTCTGAAGTAACTGCCTAGAGCACTAAGACAAACTAAGACCTTTCGAGAAGGTCTTGGCTGAAACCTCCCACACTGGTTTGTGGCTGCGCTTCAGTGATGCTATGCATGTCTCTCTGCTTCACTTGATGTACGTCATCCCAGGGCAGCTCGGAGCACAGTGAAGCAAACTGAAAACTGCTCGAGATCCAGTCCCTAGATGTCTATTGTGTTCTTCGTGTTTATTTCTTTCTGACTTCAGGAACTTGGCTAGATATAAAACAAGGAATAGCAAAGGGTGGAGGAAAGGATCTTCGATCCCAGCTTGTAGCAAGGTGATACTCGCTTCTCCACTTCTTGAAGTATTTACTTCTGCACTGCAGGAGAGTAGACAGGATTATTGTTGTAGTCCTCTCTACCTGCCCTTTTCTTGATTAGTAGCTACTGAACAGATTCACTTGATGTTGGTTTTTTTTTTTTTGGTTGGAATATTTGTTCCTTTTCAGTGTGAAAATCCTTCCCCACCCATGACATATGAAAGTATACCGAAATTGAGTTGGCATAACTGTAAAAGGCTGTCTCTGATAGGAGGGCTGCCGCTTTGCCTCCCCCATGGGCATTCCTAGAGGAATGCCCCTTCAGAGTGGAATTGCCCAGTACTACCGGGAGGATGTTAATGCAACATCCATTTACCCATGTCTGTTGGTGACTGAAACTGTGTGGTGGAGTGGGGTTTTTCTAGGGACAACGAAATAGTAGTGTCACAAATGGCATTCTGCTTTGAGCTGAATGTTGCTACTCGCCGATGTTGAGTGGATCTCAAGGCCCTAAAGGTATGAGAGCCTGGGCAAGGTCTCTCTTGGCCTAGTTCACACAGTTCTCTGCAGCTTGGCTCTAAATGCCTTGAGCAAAGGAGAGCAGTGGTCTTTTGGGAATTGCCCTACTTGCTAGCTATTGTTTGCAGCAAACAGGCCTGTGTGATTGCGTGCAGCGACTTGCCTGGGGCTGTGGACTATGTGTTAGTTTCCGAATCCGAAGCGACTAGGGGGTCGGAGCCCCCTCCTGGTTTTCTGAGCCTATTTTCATGTGCAGGCCAGGAGCTAATAAATGCTGGGGGAAGGATCTAGCTTGAGTCTCAGACAGAGAGACAGGACTGATGGTGTCTGAGAGTGGAAGAAGCCTGCATGATTCATTCTGAGAGTGGAATCAAAGACCTCTGCTCTTGCCTCTGGTGTTCAGCTTTCCCCAGCTGCTTCTTCAGTAAGCGTGTGTGAAGGGGAGACTGACAGCCCTGCTGCTTTCTGGGAGTGGTCCATGGCTTCGGTGCCCAGGCTTTGAATGCCCCTGCTGTGGGGTGGCAGGGTTGTGCCTTCTGACACCAGGCTAGCTGGAGCTGGGCAGCAGCAGGAGCCCAGGGAGCAGGAGCAGTGATTTCTTGGAGCAATCATGCTCCACACAAGCACTGAGTCCTGAGAGGCCGTAAATGGGTGAAGATGGTGAGGATGTTGAAAGCCTGCCTAAGTGTTCAATATGCCTTTCTAGCTTGTTGCTCTTTCAGTTTTCCTCTGCTGAGTGCAGAAGGGTGATCAGCTGCAGGTGCCTGTGTTTCCCCTTTGGGCTGCTCTGCCGGTTAAACCCATGAACAAGCTGCCTCTGTGTGTGAGGTCTCCAGCGCTGTGCTGCTGTTTGCGTAATATTCCCCCTTTCTCCAGTTACTTTCTGAAACACCTAAGAATGCCTGAGTTTTTCTTAAACTGAAATGCCTCGCTTTGAAACTAGAGCTGTTTGTAAGACTTCTTGCCACTTCTTGTGTAAGAGTAGAGGAAGAGCAGAGATACAGCTTCCCTATGCATCTGTGATTGGGGACAACGAATTCGGGCCCTGTCTCTGCTTGTCTGTCTCGGGGTCCTGGGGTGGAGAACAGAGGCACTGACTGGGGTTCTTGCAGAAGTGACCCTAGACTCCGTCTGGCCTAATAGCTAAGGGGCCAGATGGGCCCAGGGTAGGACAACAAACCCATCTCTCCGTGCCTCTCTTTGTCAGCATGTGGAGCAGCAGTGTGCGGGAGGGGTGAGGGTGGCAACTCAGAGGTTCAGTAACTGATAAGGCTTCCGGCAGCAGCTGAGGCCAATCTCATTAGTGAGAAGGAGGTCAGGTTGCCTTGATTTGAAGGGAAGGAAAAGGGGAAGCAAAGTAATTAAAAGGGGAAGAGGTAGAAATCATGAGAAGAAAGATCATGCAGCTCCCATCTGTTTGGCCTGACATAGCTGATCCCCGTGAGCCAAGCTGCAGTTTTCCTAAGAGGAAGAGTTGCTGGTGTAGAGAAGCTTCTCTCTAGCGGTAGGCACTGCTTCCTCTTGCTGGGTGTCCCTGGGATTGCCATGATCACTTGCAATGCTTAACAGTAGGAGGAAAGGGAAGAATAGTTTCCACTGATCTGAAATGTGTTGTAGCACCACGGATAAAAAGGTAATACATGGGATGGCAGCATCCTAGTGCTCAGGCTGATGTAACTTGCTCCCATCATTCAAGCAGTCTAATGACACTTCTCTCCAACCTCTTGTGATCTGGGTCTGTCCTTAGCCCTAACAGCTATCCTCATGTACAGGCTGGCTCAGAAGAGCTTCAGAAGGAAGTGGCAGGAAGAAGGTGAAGGAATCTGCTGGATGGTAGTCTGCTCTCATCAAACAGAAAGGTGTAAATATTTTGGGATAAGGAATGGGGATGAAGGGATGATGTGATACACCTGAGCTTTGTGATAAGGCTGATGAGCTTTGTGATAAGGCTTAATGAGCAGTTTAGGTAGTTGTAGTACTTCCTGTCTTAATATAGAAGTGGCAGTTGTAGGAGTCTGGGGAGAGGCCGATCAACGCCTTGTAAAAAAAGGAAGTTTCCACCAGCTGTGTGTCAGCAAACCCAGCTGCACACAGGAGCAGAGTGACTCATACCTCCCCTGAGGGGTGGTGATGAACTGCAGTGACTGAGATTCTGGACCAGAGTCTCGCTTGCACTGCAAGGTTAGAAATATGTTACCTGTGAGTATTGAAGGTGATGTTGTCCTTCAGCTTGCACTTATCTTTCACCTCTATCTCATCTGGGGCAGGCAGCAGTTGTTCAGCCTGTGTCTTACCAGGATAACCATACCTGGTTCTGTTCCCTTATTGTTCATCAGGTTTGTAGCCCTTCTCTGTGCCTGGGCAAGGACATACTGGGGAGTACTGGTGCTTTGGCTGTTGCATTGCATAGCAAAGCTGCCTTGTTTTCCCTTCAAGACTGAGGCTGTATATATCTCCTTATCTGTATTTGTTATTTTCTGAACTTAGCTTTTTTTAAGTCACTGAAGCTATGTTTAACATTTCTGAAGAGATATAGTTTGTGCTTTGTACAATTGTTTTACTGTTTTCCTGTCTCACCTGGAAGGATTTTTCTGAAGCATACTAAGGCTGCTTCTGTTCTCTGACTCTGGACCACTGGAGCCTATAGGGTTGTTTGTTTTGTGGCTACCAAGCATCCCAAGTTTTTGTGGTAGATCTCCAGTTGTCCTCCGTACATTATAACACTTACTTGCCCCGGACTCCACAACTTCGGTTTCTGGCGAGTTAAATTTATTTCCCTTTCTATTCTGATCTTAAGGGGATGCATGATTGCTCGGTCTGATGTCTGAATTTCTCTGTCTCAAATGTGCTTCCCATCAACACTGTAACAAGCATAATGCTGTACTCGATAAGCAAAGGAATTTATTCCAAGCCTCAATTTCTGAGGAACCTGAGTAGCAGTCTCCCATCTGCATAATAAGCTTGAGAAGAAACTGATTGGTGGAGGAAATGGGGACCTAGAATTAACTCACTTTTTTCTAGAATGACTTCATGCTTACACAGCAGCATGCCATGCAACATTGAAAGCTAGGGTGGATTTGTTGTGTTTACTTCTGCCTGGAAAAAGAATTTCTTAGCAAGAAACTGGTCATCACGGTGGGACTTGGTAAACCCGTTCTGTATTTCATCCTGTTGATCATATTTATTGCCTCTTCTCAAAAGCATAGACAAGACTGCAGAGTAATGTATTTGAAGGTCCGTCCAGGGGATTTGTCACTGCCTGGTTGCTTTTTTCCTTTAAGTGTTGCTTTGTGTACCAATTAAATGCTCATTTTCCAATTATTTTAGTCATGGTTCTATCTGCCTTTTTGCTGTAACTTAAAAATAGCTGTATTGTGGGAGTGTGATAGTCTGAGCATCTATTACTGTTTCCTTCAGATCCTTTGGAGAAGGTCCAAGCAGAAGCTACTGCCCATTCCACGTTTTTTTGTAGCGATTGTAATCTCTGTCTGCAGTTTGTCTCTGCCCTAGCCTCTTTCACTGGAGCTAGAGCAAAGCAAAATGTTTTCACACACAATGATGAGCCCCTGTTTTTCTCCACTGTGGGGAAGGTGGACCCATAGCAGGACTAACACAAGTGATAGGGAGGGTTGTTATGTACCCTAAGCCCCAAAGAGGAGGCTACAAGGAATTAACTAATCTAAGTCTCCTGCCTTTTTTCCTTGCCAGCTGAAAGAAGAATTGTCCCGCATAGTTGGAAGTCTGATTGAAAATTATGACCCTTTGAATGATGAGGAGAGGAACCTACAAGATGCATGGGACTATGTGCAAACACAGGTGAGTCATGGGAGGCAGCAATAGGCAGGTGATGTTATTTGTCAGTGCAGTAAACGGCCTTTAAAACTAGGCTGAGGACAGGGAAACGGGTATTGCAAGACGCAATACTGTAGCACATTGATCTGGCTGATCTACAAAATTGCCTGTGAGGTTTGGTGCCTGCATACTAGAAAACTGTCTTGCTTGGTAAGACCCTGAACCGTTCCTGCATGCTGCCTATTAGGACTAGATAGTATTGTATGCTAATGTATCTGGCCTATCAAATGGCATCCCAACACCTCTTTGTCTGCACAGCCTCCAGAATACTAGCACGTGTGAAAGCCACAGTGCATACTATTTTTGTAGCAAGTACAGTCCCTAGCTTATTGCTGGGCAAGTCAGCAGCACTGCCTACCTTACTACTTGGTGCATGTTGCTTGTTTATTGTCGTGGCGCTTCTGCAATTGTCAGTGGTCTTGGGAGCTATTCCAGCCACCCCTGGTTTCTGTTTTAGCATCAGGGTCAGCGCTTGAGCAACTAGGTCAGTGTTCAGGCATGCTGGAATCATGATAGCTGTTTACTGCCGAACCACAGGCTTGAGAGCTGGCTGGCAGTTGTGGTTAAATATATGCCCAGCATGGGACTGGTGTGTAGTAAGTACAAGTAATAGCATTTTTCTTCTGTCTGTTCTTTGGTCTGCAAAACATTGACCTGCAGTATTTGTCCTCCTTGGAGAGAGGATGATTTATTTATGTTTTATCACTGTAGTTGCATCTCCTTGCTAGCGAACTCTAGAGAAGGCTGAGTCTACTGTGGAGAGGATCCTGCTTACACCCTTCTTTTATGTAGGAACAGAAGATGAAGGTTTTGCAGAGGTGGACAAGTAGAGTGTTAGGAGTCTAATTTCTCTCATACACTAGAGCTGGCATTTGAAAGGGGATGGGTGTTCTGCAGACCAGTTTTGCAGTTAAAGTCCAAACCTCTGTGAGGTAGAGGTAGTTCCTTCTGGAGGCTGGATCTTCAACACTTACTTGGAAACCAAATACTTGTCCTGGTGTGGGTGTTCAGCTGTTTGTAGCTCTGCTCTCATGTCTGTTATGTCAGACTGAAACGTTACACTTCCTTTCTGAGCAGAAGTGGATTTTTCCCTAAATTTCTACCTCAAGTTTGATAGCCTTTCTGCTCTGTACCACCATGCAAGCACTGGGATCCATGCTTAAGATAAGATCTTAGTCTTTGCTGGACTTCCCGATGCGCTTTCCCCTCCAGCAACTACAGTTGCATCACGTGGCTGTATAGGAATGTAAATGTTTCTTAGGATGGAAAATTTTTCCTCATCCCATCTTCCAGCCAGCCCCAACTGCAGCCAGGCGGGTGCAAACCCGCCGTGACTCGCTGGGGCTCGGCAGCATGTCGACGCCATCATGCGGTGGCTGCTGGTGTCCCCCAGGGGCCACGGCGAGGATCAATGATACCTTGCAACTGGGAACCAGAAAATGAAAAGTTCCAGCTTCACGTCTGCTCAGTAACGGTGTACTGCTCAAAGAAAGATAAAGTCTTAGCGTTTAAACCTATGGAAATGGCATCGCTAGTGGAAGACTAGGTAGCAATCCTTTCGAGATGTCTTCGAATACGCGGGATGTCTTGTCAACACATTAATCAAGACAAGCTTGCCTTGCTTGTCCCTCACCAAATTAACCTGCTGATGATGAACTAGAGGAACTGAAAAAATCTCTCAGACTTGTCACACAGCACAACTGCCCTCCTCCAGCTGACCCACCAGCAACATCTGTTTTGCACGTTTACTTCTGTTTAGCACTGTCACCTGGTGATAAGATGCGGTTTGCTAGTACTTGGTCTGCAAAAACTAATCAAAATTACACTCTGTGGAATTGATGTCAAGCTGCATGGCCTGCTGCAATTTGAGTATCTAGGTCTCATGCAGTCAGGCTTGTGAAGGATGCGTATTCTAGCATGACTGGTGTGCTAGAACTGGTGTGCTAGGCCTGTGCATATTACCGTCTACTATGCTCAAAGTCTGCTAGAAGTGTCCCTTTAACTCTTGTCTTGCTAGCAGAGTGATTCTTTGGTAGGAAATAATGCCTCTGTCTTCTGGATGGCCCTATGTATAGGTTATCATCTGGTAACCAGGGTGATGTTCTAATGTAACTAATCCATACAAACTGTATGGCCTGAGTGGTGTTGTTACAAGGAGAGCTCCTGCGTACTTCTACCTCCACTGCCTGTTTGTTTTCACGTGCGGTATGTTACCAGTGCAAAGCATAAGACCGTGGTGATCTCTCTGCTTATTAGATAGCCTGCTGTGGATGGACTGGAGCAAAGGACTGGGAAAATAATGCGATTCTTATCAACCAAAGCATGACTGCGTATCCCTGCTCCTGCTCCAATAGCTCCAAGGACTTCCAGGTAGACAGCGGTTTCTGCAATCTGGATGTCCCTGTCAACGGCACTGCAACATATGCTGACTGGCCTGTCCATGAGCAGGTGAGTGGATATGTCTGGGCCCTGTGAAGCTTCCACTGAAGTTGCCTTGTCTTTGTTCCTCTAGGAATTATTTAGAGCACTTTTTTCATGCCAGTATTGCTTGAAGTACCTGTGGAAACAGGGGTGATGTAGGACAGGGATCCCGCCCTTTTCTGCTAAAACTACTGTGAAACTTGGTATGGCATGTAACTGGAATAATCTCTATATGCATAAGGAGATGTGTTATGGATTTTCAGTCTTGAGATACTTGGATTCATGCTTCTTTCCCTTGTGACCGTGTTTTCTCCATAGGGATGCATGGATGGTGTAGAGAAGTGGTTGAAGGACAACCTTGGTGTCATTCTTGGGGTCTGCACCGGTGTTGCTGTTATAGAGGTAAGTCACTCCTGACGTGAACCTATACTGTCTTACCATGCAGACTCGTTAAAAGGTAAAGCTATTTTTTCAAGTAATAGGCACCTGGTTTAATGGTAGTGCAGATCTAGCTCTTGGTTTGTGTCTGCCTGGAGCTTTGAACTGCTGCTTTCATTGGTTGGATTAAAAATTGAACAAAACCCTGTTTGTTTGTGGTTCCTGCTGCTGTGTCTGATGCTTGGCAATTCAGTGCATGCATAACCAGGAAGAATGAGACAAGCAACATCCCAACTGTTGCCTTAAAAAGCCTATAACATAGATTCCAGATGAAGGCACATCTGTTTGCAGCAAAACATTTTTGTCACCCGGATTGTTGCATTTTCCTTGCATTGGGGACCAACTCTCTTCACCTGTGTGGTATCATTAAAAGGAGACCACTGTATTGTGCTCCCCTGTATCACCCTTTCTTCCCACTTTATCTCTCTGGTTGCTGATTTTGTTCCCATTCTTCATTACTTATTCCAGCTGCTGGGAATGATACTGTCCATTTCACTCTGCAAGAATATACACAGTGAAGACTACACCAAAGTGCCCAAGTCTTGAGTTGGCTGACTCCAGAGCTACGGCACCACAGAGAAAGGAGAAACCAGAACATTCCTGCCTCATACCCAGACTGTCCAAGCATTGACCATTATTCCTGTGACATCCCATTTCTGATACCACTCTGCTAAGAACTGTTAGAGCTGCAATACAGCCTGATCTTTTGGCAATAGGGCCATCGGGCCACCTGCATCCTGCCTCTGGATTATTTCTACTTCAAGAAGCAGAACTCAACTGTCTTGTATCACATGAGACGCTGATTAACCTGAGGGGACAATGCTTTTGCTGCCTGCTCCATGTTAAACAACACTGTTCATATCTCCATTCTACAACCCACTGGGCCTAACATACAATAATTTCTCTTGCCCCTCCTCCTCTCACACATCTTTCCTCCTACCCTCAGAAGTCCCATCTCTTTGTCCCATAAGCCAGGATTGCTGTTGAGATTCCAGTGCTTTGGTAGCTTCACCTACTTCACTGACTTGTGGTGGTAACTAGTCGTGCTTTATAGGCCTTCTCCTCCTTTGCAGTTAACCTGATTTGGCTACTACTGTGCATCTTCCAGCCTAGGCTCTCATCTGAAATATTGAGCACTACTTTCATACTCGCTTCTCCTGCTTCTGGAGTCAGCTATGGCTTGCCTTCAGCAGAGCTCTTCCCTTCGAGTGTGATGAGAAGACACCAGGAGGGAGCCAAGCCTACCTGTTCCTAGTGTGGCCTGGCAGATTGTGGTGGTGGTGGTGCTCAGCTGCTTCTGGAATGGGTCCTTTGGGTTCTGGATTTGGCACTTAAATGTTTCTCCCGCTTGCCTCTCTACCTTTTCCTCTCCCCGTTGCATTGCTTTGCTGGCTTCTGTCAGCTTGGAGGTACTTCAGAGGCTGCTGCATAGTATGGACTTGGCTCCAGGCTGGCTCTGTTGGTTGCATTCTTGGGTTGCCAACTTTTATAGAGGTTACGATTAACTTGATTCTTCCCCTGCCCCCTTTATGAACATAAAATTTGTTAGCTATAGTTTTTAATTATGAATATGGAGGGATCTGACTGGATTGCTGATGCCGTATATTGGAGATATCACTGCTACCAGTGCCCGGTTTGGATTCTGTAGTTTGGAAGCAGGATACATCGGTCTTATTTCAGTTGTCCAGTCTTCCAACTCCACTGCGGTCTGGAGCCATGGCTGCATCCTGAGCTTTGTCTTGAGTATAAGCACTGCAGCAGATAAGTGGCTGGTTCTGCCATTGTGCAGGCTGGGTCGTTTCTATACTTAATGGCTGGTCGGTTTGCTCTATTCAGCCAGCGGCCAGCAGCAAGGAGTGGTGTAGAGCAGAAGAAAGTAGGAAATGTATGTGGAAAAACTGCCCCAACTTCTTAGATAAGGGAGCTGGGTGCAAATCTTCAGTCTTAGAGGTGGCTTGGGCACAATAGATCTCCCACGTGCGATCACCCTGACAGCAGGAAGCTGAATGAGAGAGAAGTGGATGGTCCTTGCCTGAGACAAGTGCAAGGTACTTGTGAGAGAGCCTTTGCCTTACAGAGGTGGTCCCAGGACTGTCTCTTGTCAGGGGTGGGGTTGCTAGGAATAACCCTAGTAGCAGTTCAAAGGGATGGCTTCACTACCTGCTCAGTTTTCCTTCTGGGAAGAAAGGCTCGTGCCAGGGGTTCAGGGCCCCAGCAGTGGGTCCCTGCTCCATCTTTATCTCTGGACACCGCAGTGATTGGTGAGAGTACATATGACTGGGTAACTGGTTTTCATGGAGGTTTATGATAAGGCTTTGCTATTTTGAGACACCTGCCCGCTCCAGCATGGATCCTTCAAGCTGACCTTTGCTATAGCAGAAGGCACCCTTCTTAGCAGTAAAGCTTGCTAGCTTTTGTAGCACAAAGTCTATTCTCTAATGTGTTCTTATTTGTAAGATTCTTGTTCAGTTACAGATGCCAATGCCGAGCAGCAAGTAAAGAGAAGCCCATGCTGGGTTTCCTTTTTGTTTTTTTGTCTGTTTTTAGCAACATCTTCCTACTGGAAGAAATGCATGTACAGATATAAAAGTCTAGAGGGTGAATATTTCTGTAATAAAGACTTTGCTAAAAAAAAAAAAATGTATCTGCCTATGACTTGTGCATTGCAGTGGTTTCCCCTTGCTTCCTCTTCACTCCCTTCTGCTTACATGCAAATCACTGACACCTTGTTTGTTCAAGGTAGAACAGGTTTTGACAGGTCCTTTGCTGAGGTCCATGTGCGAGATCAATGTGGACTGTGAAGATACTGCCCACCAGAGGGAGGTGACAATTTTCCTAGGCTAGTAAACTTTGCCTTGTTTTATGAAGTATGTCTGTGAGCTAACTGAGTGGTAGTTCCTTTGAATTAGCTGCTATCTCCTAAGCTAAGTGATCTCTGTATTTGAAGGTGTCACTTCAAATCTGTACAGTCTGCACTGTATGAAGACTGAAGACTCAGGGACTAACTGGCAAAACATAAGCCTGCTGCTATGTCCACAGTGCATAAGCTCTTGCTAGCTTAGCTTTATAATTTTTTTCCTCTTCCTACTCACCTTCAGTAGGCTCCTGCCTCCAGGCTGCTATTTTAAAAAAGTTTTCTCAGCTGCTTCCCTGCCTTGTGAGGAGGAAGAAAGCAGAGGTAACCGTTTTTGTAGGTTATGCCACTGCACACTGGGCTTGACTGTTTGAAAAGCTCTTGAAGTAGATAGAGCAGCTGTATAAATTTTCTTGCTTGCCTCAGCTAAGCAGCTGAGAAGTGGATATGAGCTGGATCTCAAAATTCCTTCAGATCCTGCTCCATGGTGGTGTTTCTAGCCATTTAAAATGGCTTTCCTTAGAAGGACCTATGTTAGTGTGCTAGTGGAGCTTAGAACTGTTGCTTTAGGAAGTAATATGCGTGCCCTAAGTCCTCATACATGTTTGAAGAAACAGAGCGGAGTTTGCAGAGAAGGTGGTGCTGGGGTGCTACCAGCAAACACTGGTGGCAACTGGTCTAAAATCAAGACTTCAGTTACCCTGACCAGCTGAGTGCAGAGCTTAAATGCTGAGGTGCTTAAATGGATCCTGGACCCGCAGTAGGGTGCAATGATCTGTCTGATCTGTGAGCACGACTTGTTCTTTTAGGCTGTCCTAGGCTGTGCTTGAGGAGAGCTTGGGATGATCTGTCTGATCTGTGAGCACGACTTGTTTTTTTAGGCTGTCCTGGGCTGTGCTTGAGGAGGGCTTGGATCTTGGTCATGTGGGATTTCCTCTCTTTCTGGTTGGTTTCCTAGAGCACCCTGCTTCAGTCAGGTGGCAACGCTTTCCCAGGGACTCACGATTTAGAGGGCTACACTTCGTGACCAAGCTGCCAAACCTGACCAAATGGCTGCTAGGTGGGGAAGGATGCTGCTGGTTCTCTTTCAGCCTGATGTGGAGCTGGAAGGAGACAAGGAGAGAAGGTGATGACGGCTGTTTGTCCCCAGCTTGGGTCCGCAACTGCCCGAGCTCTGTGGAAACCACTTGCCTTTGGCCACTGGAGGGAGGTGTTCCACCATGGACTCAGCCCGGGTGCTGCAGTATCAGCAACATCGGCTGGTCCCTGGGGGATGAGATGATGACACTGATCGCTTCCTTCTGCTCCTAGTTACTCCTGGCAGCAGGGTAGCTAAAATAACTTGTAATTACAAATGTATTCTCCTCGTAAACGATTTGTGTTGCGTGCTTGGGATTTTTAGGGATAATTTTCCCTTCCATTTCTTGGAGCAGCACACAGTTGGATTTTTTTGTTGCATGTCTTCCACTACTGTATATGGGTTGTGCTTGCTTCTCGTGTTTCTGCCCTAAGTAGCTCTGGAAGTTGAAGATAGCATGAGGAACGTCTCCTGCTGCTTCTTACTTTGTTCCCGTCTTTTTCCTGTTTCCTTCCATCCTCAGTTTCTTTGTGTGGAAGGTTGGTCTGGGTGGAAGGAAGGGGGCATTTGCCTATAAACCTGATCTAAAAAAGGATTCCAGTAAGAAGATCCTCAGACCTTCAGAGAGCAAGAAGCCTGCTGCTGCTCCTTGGGCCAGGCTCTCAGCTCATCTCCAGAGGTAAAGGTTTGCTGCTGGAACTAGAAATCAGAATAGCACTCGGACTTCTTGGGAGCTGCAATATTTGTCTTAGCAAAACCCACAGTGCCAGCCTCTGCAGTAGCTCAGCAGATGGAAGCATTTTGTGCATGACCAATAAGCTGCTATATAGCTGTCCCAGGCCAATAATTAATATTGCAAGAGTATAGTTGCAACCTCCCTGTGGCCTTAAGCAAGGCCCCTAGTAATGAACTGGTGACGTTCCTCATATGTGATCATGAGGAATTCAGAAACTGCTATAAATTTTTCCCATGAGGTGTTTTTTTTTTTCCTTCTGGAAAAGGAAGAGGAATTGCATTAGAGTGAGTATGGGTAAGCCTATATGTCGCAATGCATCTTGTTTTCTGTAATGGTTTCTGCATGGCACGTACTCAAATGTAACATGTGGCAGCTGTTCTTTTCTCTCTAACTCTCCCACGTGTGGTGCTGTGGCTGGTCCCTGCCAGCTTTGCTCAGGAATTGAGGCTAAATTTGGTAGACTTCAGAAAAGGTCTGATTCCTGGCTGCTGAAGGACAGCAAGTGGTGGTGTCAGACTCCGTGACTTGGTTGTGGAAGGTGAGGAACAGCAGCCACAGGGGTTTATTGCTGAAAAGCCTGAGGACCCTGGGATTCCCACAAATGCATTTTCACAGCCAGTTGCTGCCACTCAATGCCATAAATGGAGAACATACCCTCAATTATTCATGGTCTGGCTCTAACCCATTAGCCTCTGAGACTCTTGGCTCTAGCCTTGGCCTTTTATTACGAAGAATAAACCTCACTTAGCAGCCAGGATTTCTGAATGACATCTTAAGCCAGGTTGATACGAAAAACTTGTCAGTGTAAAATCTACAAACGTGGAAGTCTTCAAATACTTGTAAGCTGGCAAGAGGCCCCTAGCAAAAACTATGCTATTAGTGAACCAAAGCTATTAGTGAAATGTTGCTAGTAAAGCTACTAAGTGTGTTTTAGCCATTGTAAACAGTTTCTAGCAGGCATGTGCTGGTAGAGCGCATGCAGTTTCTTGCCTTGTGGCAAGCATCTCTCCTGCCAAACATAGGAAATTACCTTCTCCTAAGTAGATTAAGGTATCTACTAGACCCTAGCCATACTTTCTTACTTCTCATAGGTATGAACATTCTGGTTTCTTCCTTCTAAGCTCCTAATAATGCTTTTGGGGGGGGGGTGTGTGCTGTTTGGCTTTTGTGGGGAGGGGTTAGGGGAATATTGGATGCTCTGTATCTGGAGAAAAGGTATTCTCATTTCTCCAGGCAAAAATATTATCCCCATTTAAAGTAGGGGTTTAAGAGAAGGATAAGGCTCCAAGTAGTGTGTGATGCTCTAAGAGGTGTGGAATCCAAGAGGGAAAATCCTGCTTTAGCCACCAAGGAAGTATTTGTACATACTTGAATTAAATTTCTCTCTGGTGTCTTCTTTCCTATACCTCTCTCACTAATGAACAATATCATAAGGTGACTTGTCTGTCCACAACAATCC